ATGAACGATCTTTGTCTGTTCCCAAAGAAATGAGTACCAATCAGATACAGCAATGAATTTCTTTGTGTGGAATGATGTCGCTACAATCAATGTATTTTATTGAAGTTTTGTCTCCATCTGGGCTAAAAAAAAACAACATAATGTGTTTTGGTTTCGTAAAGAAAAAAAACCTTTTTTTTATTTTATATTTAGTCTTAATAAAAAAAGAAGACTATGTATAGTTTTAAGTCAGTGTTTTTGTGTCTCATTTGATATTATTGAGGTACTTAGTGTTGATTTAAGAAAAACGAAAATGAATATTTTTTGAATAATTTTTGATAGAAACCAGTTAGATCGTCATGATTTTCATCGTGGGAATGAAATGGTTTCTTTAAGAAGAAGAAAAAATTTGATTTTTTTCCATAGCAATCGGTTAAGAGTGGCATGATTTGATAGATTGTGCATTGGCTATTGGAATGTACAGCTGATAATTGAGTTTTCACAAAGACTAGGTCCAAAAAACCCGTTGTAATGTTCATTGACCACGACACATCTTCAATCAGATAGTTTAGGTCTTGTTCTTTTCTTTTCTTTCGATTCATCAGTTTCGAAGATATAAATATATGTCGTGCTGCTTTGTCTCTGTTCTTTTTTTTCTTTTTTTTGATTTTGGTTTGGAATAAAAGTAATTATATGCCAATACAAACAGTAATAAAAAAGAAATTAACATCACTTTGTGCTATAAATGGAAAAATGGCAGGAGGTTTTAGATGTCATGAATGTACTTAAAATTTTTTTTTGATCGATATGAAAAATAGATCAATAAGATTGGTCGAATAGTTGATAGGTCTTGTAGTAAATATACGATATCATAACGATAAATTCGCAATCAAAACAAGGCATATTTCAGAATTTGCCATTCAAAAGATGAACAATTTTTATACCATCAAATATTATCAATACAAAAAATTGTTATAATACATCATACATTTGTTTGCTTTTTGTAATTGAATATCCAATGATGTTTTCGAAGAATTTATAGGAAACTTACAATTTGAAAAGGGTTATGATGCATAGATTCTGAACTTCTTATGAAGCGATACATAACAAAAACGAATACTCATCCGTTAGTATGAATGAATTCAAACATCGTTCTTCTGTGGAATCACATTCAATAGAGCACCAATGAGAAGATATGTTATTTAAAAAACTTATTTACTCTATAAAGCTTTTTTTTGACGTTGTTTTGTATGATTTTTTTTTATAGAAAAAAAATTATTCAAAATTTCTCTTAGTGGACAAGAGAGAAATGTTTTGATAGCCTTTTTTAATCTTCACAGTGATCGAAAGAAGTTATAAATGCTCTTTCTTATGTAAATATGAAACGCTTTTCTAAAACTGACAAAAATAATCTTGATTATATATCTAAACAAAAAGTTAACTTTGTTTAGATACATAAGAATGTAGGTAGATATGAATACAGAACATCGTGTAGCCACTTAACTAATAGATATAATACTGAAATTCTGCCTCTTTTACGTCATATGTCAAATCTTGAAGAATTAACTTTGTATATTATTGTCCATGATCGAACTACATTTATCAATGGTACTCACATTTACAATGAAATTCTTGTTCATATGCCACGACTTCATATATTTAATTTTTATATCTCCATCCACATTGAAATAGATTCTTTAGTTCGTCGTTTATCTAAAGATGATATTCAATGGATATTTAGTAATAACATAAAATATCAACAAGTGGATTGTATTATAAACTATGAATATAAATTTGTTCAATGTCATGTCTTTTCATTGCCGTTTATGTTTGAAGATCTCGATAGTATTGGTAATATATTTCCAAATATTATTTTCAGTCATGTTAGAAGATTATCGGTGATCGATAATGTTCCATTTAAATATGAATTTTTCAATCGAATTGCTTTCTCTTTTCCTTTGCTTAAAGACTTACGTGTTGTTAATTTTAATCGGCAATCATCAATATCAGACGACGAACGGAACTCGAATGATAATCAATTGTATTCAATTGTTAAATTGAATTATCTTATTTCGCTTCATCTAGTGGATGTTTATATTGAGTATGTCGATCAATTTCTCAACGAGAGAAAAACACATCTAGCTCGTCTAATTAAATTAACAATTGATTATGATCATTTAACAATCGTAACAAATAACTTTACAAAAGATACAACACGGCTTAATTGTATCAATGTGAAAGAATTAAATTTCTATAACAGAAGAGTAGAACATTCAAAAGATTTTTATGTTTATTTTCCTGTGTTAAAACCTTGATTTTGTTCTAACTAAATTAATAAAATAAATAATGAAAACATATTAATACTATTTTTGTAATTGAATCATATTGACAAAGAACTATTAATTACTAATACTTATTAACTTTGGAGGTTTTTTTCTCAGACATGAAAAGCCTATTACATTTGAAAAATGAATACTAAATAGAACAGAGAGATCTCAAAAAGAATTGAAGATGCTATATATTTGACACAACAGTTTCTCAAATTAAAAAAAAAACTACCTGTCACTATAAACTTCTCTTAATTGTTTTTTCTTTCATAATAAGATCTTTTGTAAAGATTAATTGACATCAGTAATTCATAGAATATATCTACACACATGCGCTTTTTTTTACTTAATATTCGTGTCAATTATTATCAAATTAAATTTCAATTATCTTCATCCATTTTTTATCTTTCTCTATCAATTGACAGATGTTGAAAATATAAAATGAAATAGTTTTCTTAACGAAAAGATCCCGGTGAAAAATATTTCTAACAATAACGGAAGAGAACGCATTCATAAAAATGTAGAGACTTGTCTTTTACATGAAGAATGTGTTCTACAGCTTAGCGAACGTTTTCACAAACAAAAAGAAAATTTCTGACTTTAAAGAAACTCATTCTTTACTGTTCCACACTAGTACGGAATGCTTTCTTCTCAGTTCAAAAATCGTTCTTTATCTGGATAGAAAGCGTTCTGAACCGTTCCATGAGCCAATAGAACGTGTCTCTGCCCATGCTATTTCGAAACAGTCAAGATAGGATTCC